TTTTCGTAAATTAAATTTCCTGTTTCTTCAACCACTAATTGTGTCGTTCCTCGAGACCTTCAAGGAAAGGTACAACTTTCTTAATCTTGTGTATCGAATTTTCCGGGCAACCAACCGTGAATTTTCCAGCGTTAGGAATTTCCTCGCTTGTTAACTGCCTTCATCTTCGTCCTTAAAATTCCATTTACATTATTTCGCAGACTTAAATGAATACTCAATATAAGTTATATCGTTCAAAGGGCATGGTGGCAATTAATCCAGATTAACGATCAATATTTCTACAGAAGAGATAATGTTAATCAATCATAACTGTATGTGTAAATAATAATGGTATATAAATTCAATGGATTTTGGATTAATATCATTCGCAGAGTGGAATATCAATGTTGATGCGTTGTGGTACAGGTAATACCTATGATTTCCATATTTATCCAATATATGATCTCTCTCTCTCTAAATGTTCAGTTGACTGGTCGTAGTTTATCAGTGATACTGATCAGTGATCAGCGGCCTGACCAATATATTGCTCATCGATATCACCTCTAAAGTTTATCTCAATGATACACACATACCTTTACATCATTTTCGTTTATTTTACTTTTATCTTTCCAATTACTTGTGCAAATTAATCTGGTAATCATTAACTCACGCCTGTCAATATTTATTTGCCCTTACCAGTCACCTACCAGCTTTCATTATTAACGCATTTCTATTTATTTATAATTTTTATTTTTATTAGTTAAACCGCAGGTATTTTTACTGTCAATATTAACTAGTATTTCTTCAATCATGATAATTGGTGATTTGTTTATGTGGTTTATCAATGACAATTATAATAAAATAATAATGAATAAACTTCAATGCAGTGAAAAGCCAGTATTTCATTACGTTGAAAGTTTTTACCTCGATTATACGATTTAATTATCATATTCACATTTGTTCAAATAAAGAATTTAAAACATTTGAAATAAAATACAAAACTGCTATTACGAATGAGTTTATTTAATAGAAATATGAATAATAATTTTTTCAAGAGATTAATTAAGCAATTATTGTATCTAAACAACAATGCTGCTCATAAAAGTTTGCATAATATATTGTTCAAAAATCTGAATAAAAACTTTATGTAATAACGAAATTCTTTTTACTCATAGAATATACTATTTTTACAGTTGGAAAACTAACCAAGTTTTATTCAGTTAGAAGTAAAAATGATTTTAGTTTATTTTTCATGTTTCTATTGAAGCAAAAGATATTTGCGTTAATAAGCAGAAATTTTAGTGATTTTTCTTCGGAAAATAAACCAAAAAAAAATGCTTTGTGTTGAAAACAACATCTATCATCATTGGGACAGTAAATCGATAAACTTTCTTAAAGGAGTTTAGATTTGTTGGTAAGGCTCGTTAAAAAGTTATTTTTTTTTAAACAGATGAAGGCAAATGATTGGTGGTGACATGTTAAAGTTTATTTCATGATTCATTAAGGATTATATTATGGCTTTTAATCGATAAGTTATTAAGGAAACCTTTTACAGAGCTTGTTCACCATCGCATTGTTGTTTATATAATATTACAGTATCACACAAGCAATTTAATAAAGATCAAAGTGCCATAACTTAAAAGTTATGATGGAAAATGATGATAATTAATTTGTTTTTTGAGAAAAAACTTACCAAATCATTTATTATGAAATTTGATGGGATAAAGTTAGGTAATGAGCTTATTTTATTTTTGAATAATTACTCAGCAATGTTGAATAAAAAAAAGATGATTCTACAACTAAGTAGTATTCTGAGTCACTGACCAAAAGGTTTCATTCAGTTTAATCAGATTACTTATTAGATAAAATATTTTTTTAATAATTTCTTATTATATCGGTTGTCTGAACTAGTACTATGAATTACCTTGATAAAAACTGTTATAAAATCAACGATAAAATATTTTCACAACGACAGGTATTCAAAGTTTGTTTAGTAAAATTGTAATTAAAATGTTCTGACTAACAGAAAAATTTCAATAACAGAAAAAAGGTTACCATGTGTGGATATTTAACAATAGGTTTTTTATTGAGCCAATTGGACCTCTAATGAAATCAATAGAACAAAGTCAAAAAGTTCAATTAAAGCTCAATGTTTTATCCCGTATGAAAAAAAAACGTTCAAACGTCTATTATATTTGTCTACCAGTCATAAAACAATTTGCTGAACAAATAAAACCACCACTCACAGCAACGTATGGGTTTGAAACGTGAGATTACTTACGACTCAAAAGCAATTAAAAATGGAACGATATTGTGTTCAGTATAATGGCTAGAGAATCAAAAAAAGGTAATTGAACCAAAGCAGCGAAATAATGGTAAAAGTAAACAGACCGAATGTAGAATGCAATGGTTACTTTTAAATTAATTATTGTTCTATTTATCTCTGCATTGCAGTTATAAGTGATAACAATTAAAGTTACTAGTTTCATAAAAGTTTTATTTCCCTGAAGAAACAGGCAAACCAATCAAGAAAATCATTTATAAATAATTGAATGTATACAAGGTCTGCTCATTCACTTATTTATATAATAAAGTTGTAGTGTTTATCAGACAATAACGATGGAAAAAGATCATTTGTTGTAACATTAATGAGTAAGAGATTTATGATTGTGTTCAATAAAACTTGAGATATTTTTTTTTTTGTTAATTCAATTGAAAACAAAAGATTTATCAAAATACATGATGATTATTGGAGAATTCAATGCCCTGAAGAAAAAATAAATAATTTAATTCATTGTTATATATTATTGTTAACTAATTTATTCTCGTTAATTAAAGATGATTAGAGATTTTCCTAAATATGATAATCTAAAATCACTCTATAACAGTAAATAACTAAACATCATTAGATTCTATCAGCGTTGAATCACATGTTTACTGAAATGGATGGAATATAATTTCCATATTCCATGTGGGAATATATTGGTCTTTTTGTTAGCTAGCAACAATAATTAAGTAGACATTTATTCTCGAGGATAATGAACATTAGAAAAATCTAAAAATAAAAAATTATGAATGAGAATTTATTGAAGTGTTAATAAGTATACACAATTTCTCAATTATTATGCAGATCCATTTGGCTCCTGGTCTGAGGATAATTGGATATATGTACAGACCTGTTAAGATGCTAAGTAGCATCAAGCTTTCCTAATTAAAGCCACGTTAGACCAAAATAGTATATCAAGGGTATTGAAAAGCTAAGTAGTATCAAACTCTGGTTAATTAGGTAGAGATTTAGGTTACAACATCAGTAGTGTTAACACGTTAATTACAAAAAAAGTATTCCCATCTATTTTCGATTTCATTCTTAAGAATAAAAATGTATAATTAATAGATTTCAAATGATCTATATATTCATGGATAATATGATTATTAAAAAACATATTTGGGAAAATTAATATGAATAAACTATTTTCAAGAAATTTTTATTTTATGATGTAGACTATCTAGATTTAGATAATTTTTTTAGTGATTTTCTACACCACAAAATGAAGTCAATTCACTTCCTTGAAGATCCATGAAAGATAAAGGCAAAAAAAAGTTGGAGAAAATATAATAAAAGTGAGTTACCAGCTAAAAAGACTTTCTTGGGATTAATGTATTCTTCCATAGTGTCCACTGTATCTACTGGATTTGTCTATTATCTAGGATGAATAAGGGAGAAAAAAGCAAATTAACCCCGCGATGACAGAAACAAGTTGACACATGGGAATATCGTGGCCTGTCAAAACATCATGGAGATAAAACAACCTCTGACTCGCTCTCTGACGAATAGGAAATAGGATAATAAAAGGCTGGGTGGATCAAACCTATAGTCGGTCCCACAGTGACATCAGCGAAATTACAGTCGATCGATTCTCATTCCACTTGTCGCTAAATGATTCGTCTCTCTATCATTCGCACCCACTACCCTCCTCATCTTGAACCAACAGCCACGACTTTAACGAAGAGAGTAAAAAGCGGAAAAATTCTATATCCTAGTTGTCTCCCACATGAATTCACCACCAAGGGAATCGACAATTGCTACTAAGGCAAAAAAGATATTGTTCGATTGAAAGAGTATAGTCATTTTCAGCAGAAAGCTAAAAGAAAGTCTTCATCACTTTTTTTGTACAAAAAAAAAAAAACAAACCCAATCATCGTTAAAGTTGAACACTGATTGTATTACAATAAAGCACATTTGAATATAAAAATATTCTCAAGGTTAATTCGTACCAACGATAAGGCTTGAATGAAATTTATGATTTTTTATGCATAGTGGCAATTATTTTATTTGATAATTGGATAATTATTTTAATTAGTCAACTTCATAATCATTAATTAGCATTATTTGAAGTTGAATAATCTTTTTTATGTAATTACTGAACAGCTTAATGAAACTCCTTGACCTGGACCACATATTCTATGTTGGTTATTATTGAAATATATTGATAACAATTACATTTATTTTTTTTTTTTTTTTCAATGTATAAAAAGAACTTTTTTGATGCTAAATAATTTATTTGGAAAATCGATTTTATTTTTTCATGAAAGTAAATAGATGTTAGGAGCTGGAAAGAATGTGTTAATAATAAATGAATTTCGAATAAATTATCTATTTTCACAACTGTTCAGACCAATGAATTATGCAACATAGAATATACAGAATAAATAATTATTTAATAGTATTTTTTCATCTCCTTATGCATTTCATATTGTGTTTGAATATTTCATTATTGTTTTTTCAATGTAACTTTTTTCGAATTAATCAAATCTTCAGTTATTTTGCTTATGCTCAGATAATTATTAATTAATTATTTATTGACTACTTTAAGTAATTCAATTTTTAATTAACAATAATGATTAAAAAGCCTACCACTTAATTTGACCTAATTGTCAGAATGAAAATTTTAAAGAGAAGGATTAAAATATTATTTCACAAAGTAGTAAAAATAAAGAAGAAGTTTAATAATATTTCTTACCTGTAGAAGAGCAGGGGGTCTTGGCTGCCTCTACAAGATCTTCCCGGCTACCAGGAGGTGCCTCCAACATCGTACTTTTGTCAGGAAATGTTTTAACACAGAGCAGGCTGAAAGCTACACAAAAAAATGATATAAAAATAAAATTGAATAGAAACTATGACGGAACAAGATTTAAAAAAAAAATAAACAAGTGTTATATTGTGTATACATAATCCAGAAGAAGTTATATTCTTTCTTAAAATCTTGCTAGTAAAACTTTATGTTGACCGCGCATTGCTCATCCCCTAGACGATACTGGAGTCAAGTTAGTGCTTGCTACCTGTCCCGACCTACTTCTGCTACTTTAAAAAACGTGCACCGGTGGAAAGAATGAGGAAGAGAAGAAAGAAGACTCGTAAACTTTTCACGCCCATCCAATAAATTATTTTCTCTTTATTGTCGTTCTTCCAACATACCAGAAATTACGTTGAGTCTTCGATAGTTTGTGGAGTTGAAGTCTAAGGAAATATACTTTTAATGTGTTTCACTATTTTCTTTTTTATTCGATTATACTTCTACCGTGACTGATGATCCATCTATTTTAACTTAAAAACAACTGACACTTTAGATCGATGTTTATTTTTAACTTTAATTTAATTGTTTAATATCATTTCAAACATATTATGTTTTATTTAATCAACTGAGTGTCACAATACTGATGTTTTCTATCGGAGAAATGAGAAGTATCTATTTGAAATATGAAAGATTGATTACATTGTATTAAACATTGAGAAAGAAATTTAATAGAAATTTAATAGATAAAAATCTTTTTCAAGAATTATCATTAAAGTCTGATGACAATCTGGGCAATGCTTATTTTTTAGTGAAAATGGCAAATAAAATATTTCTGTGTGAAATAAAAAAAAATTTATGTACCGAGATGTGAACAAATATATTTTAACTATAAATGAAAATTTAATGGTATGCATGTCAAGATATAGATATGAATATCAAAATAAGAAAAAATAACAAATAAAAATGTGTATTACAATAAACAGAGAAAAAATGATCAATAAATGAACAGGCTTTAATGAAGATGATATTAATTTATTCACCGAGTTCTCTTCGCCTTTGTATTAATGTTGTTAATTTTAATGAAGTCTTTTCTCATAAAATAACATTATTTCCAACTTAGAATAAGGAGACAGAAAATATGAATGAAATAAATTTATAAATTATAATAAAAAAATTCACTTTGAATGAAAGTTTATCTTTGATTTCATACATGTTGCCTCAGTTGAATCTCATTTGGGTTCATCAGGTTAATGAGTTGAATAAAGTATTTCAATACCTAAAGGGCTTTATTTTTACTCTAATTATGAAGTATAAATAACTTTAGTAAAAAAAAATTAAATTAATATTATTTAGCAACCTCGTAACAATATTAACTTCATTATTATTATAATTATTTCAATTAAAAATTTTTTACTTCTTGCAATTAAAAGTTTTCTAATATTTTTCATTAAAAAATAATTCATTTTCACTTTGAGAATCAATAAAGTGAAATTAGAAGAGATTTTTTGTTAATATTCGTTCGTCTTGATGCACAAATTTGACTTTTAAAATAATATTAAGTAGTACGAAGTTAATAAGAGCTGACAATGTTTCAAGATGGTGACGTGGCCCTATAATTTTCCGCAGTCGTAAATATTAGAATGTAGTAATGTTAAGTTCTAGTATACTTAAATTTTAAAAATATTTGTAATTAACTCCTCTTAAGGTTCACCACACAATTCTTGATACTTACGAGTGAGTGGATTTTAATTAAATTCTCTCTGTACATACTAAAGAATTACGTAGTAGCGTGTTGAGAAATAATGAAATAAATGTGGGTAAATGTAGAGCATGAAGGGAATAAAGAGTAAAGAGAAAAGGGAGCATAAATTTGTAAATATAGTGCGTGAGAAAAAGTATTTATGAGGTGTATCTTTCATCCTCAACTATAGCTACTCACATTTAAATTTCCCGCCAAAATTCATTCTGCCACAAAATTAGACAAACGTTGGGTAATTTTCGTGACTCAATGTTCATAGTTTGAATACGGTAATTCCGTCAAGCCGGAAAGACGTTTTAAGACTGGAAACGACATTCTCGAAGACCCTTGGAAGCTTTCACACGCGACCACGTCGGGTTCTTTACTTTTATTAGAGGCATCAGTGTCAAGAGAAAGAAAAAGAACAGTCTCATCTTCTCCTTTTTCTTGTTTTATTGGACTTACTAACGTGTTTTTTCTTTTTTTTTCTCTCTATATACTCAACCCACAATTTATCTGTTCCGCAATACAATAAAACGCAATTCTGCACTTTTCGGCGATAAATTTTATTTTATTTCGATTTTTAAAATTTACGACTTCTTTTATGTTTCTCAGTAATCTCACTGTTTGTTCCAAAGAATTGTGTGATAAAATTTGAATATAACTTTAACAAAAAAAATCCTTCCCACTAAACTTCCGTTTACTCAGTATTCAAGGATCGATGAGATAAACTTTTAAGAACTGAATCCTTTTTTAGCTCACCAGCTTCTTGTTTTCTTTTTTCTTCAAGCTTATCATTTTTTTTTTTTAACGAAAAATCGTTTTATCTTCCGTCAGGATTTTCTGGAAGAACTTATGTCTTATATGGTAAAAAAATTCATCGTTTAGTTATCAAGAGAGAAATAGATATCTAATAAATAGAGGCAGCTTCTTTCTTATGCTCTTTTTTCTATACGTGTACCTATGTCAGGAGTTTCATGATGAATCACGTTCAATTTTAAAAGAACGTGCGTCCCTGAAAAATAGTTTTCTTTGGCAAAGATTTTTTTTTTAGCTTTTTATGTCAATCATCACTTTTACTTTATATCACTTTGATCATAATGGAATATATTACTTTGTGCTACAAAGTGAATCTTAATAAACTGGTCATTCTTTCAAAAATATTGACACATGCCTTTTACAAACATGTTACAAGAAATTGCCGTCAGTTATTATTTTTTTTATGTAATTTTCATGAAAAAAGCTTTATGACTTTGTAGTTTTTTTAGTGAAAAAATCTGTGTATGAATTCATGAAGCTTTTGAGAAAAAATCAACTAAACAGTAGTTATTTATTTAAACGAACAGTCAAATTGCGAAAATTTTTATTCATTTTTTATGATAGATTTCACTGGATTTTTTTATAAAACTTGTAAATTAAAAAAACAAAAGTTATAAAGTTGAATAATAAAAACGGTAAAATTCAATAAAATATTTTAAGGTGTGAGTAAATATTTACGAATACTATAAGTGTTTGTTTTCTCTCCAGAGAAACTATGTTGTTATATACGAAATAGGTTCATCGAGAATTGAGATTTCCTATCAGGACGAAATAGCAATAACATCTCTCCGAATCCGACAATTTGCTTTACACACCATCAAGTGCAGATGTTCAATAATGTGGTTGTAATACTCAAGAATGATTGAGCATTGTTATTTCCTCAATACATAATATATACGTAGCAAATGTATATCCCGTACTCACCCCGCTTTACGTCTTGCCACGTGTTCGTGATTTTCGTCTAATCTTTACCCACTTCCAGGCTTCGTCCTTATGCCAGACGATTCTTTTCTTACATCGTATAACAATTAATCTTTCCTTCTGAAACAAAATAAATACATTTTTTTCTTAAATATATATAATAAATAATATAAATATCATTGAAATATTTATTAAAAAAACTTAATGTCAATTTAAAAAAAAATATGAAATTTTGTGAAATAGATTATTGAATTTTTTGTAAACTCTGAACTATTGTAAAGTTTTATATTTTTGGAATATTAAAAAATCGCAAATACAATGAGATCTTTTATTGCAAATAGAGCAGACAATTCGAGAGAGTTTATTAAAAATGGTTTGAAATTAAAATAAATTTTTTAATTAAATATGTATGGATTTAATGCATGAGTAATAATTAATTAAAAAAGAAGTTCTATATTTATATTTGTATAAATTATACAAACGTTTGTTTTTTAAAAATAAAAAAAGTAAATATCACAGCAAAATCAATAAATATTCACTATTTCATGATTCTGTGATTTTCACTGTTTCATTATCATAGATTGGAACACACATTACAATAAAAAAAGTATTTCATTAAAAATTTTAATACAAAAATGACAATATTCATTTGAAATTTGAGTGTTTTATTTCAATGCACTTGAAAGTGTTTTAAAAGTGACTATAATTCTAATTGAATAAATGACGTTACATTAAAACATGTTAAGTGCATTGAAATAAGAGACTTTCAAATTTGAGATTTGCAGTGACTAGTATTAAACTATTCTGCAAAACAGAAAGTTTTAATTAAATATATTTCCTTTCTTCATGATATGAAAAAATTCTAATTCTTCACACTAACAAAATATTAAATCCTCTCTACCTCACTAACACATTGGACATTATTTTATCTATGTAGAATGAATTTATACAGAAAAAATGTAATCAAGATTAGAATGAAATTTATAACAGCAAGACAATTAGCATGTAGGCTTTTGCAGTGAGACTATAAATGACGTCAGAGAATGGTATAAAAGATGGGCAAATTATTAAGGTTGTAGATAGAGTGTAATAGTAGTAGATTTCTGGAAGCTTTTGTATCTGGATTCATTGCACGTTCATCGGACCAACGCGAATCGTCCACGCGTATAAAAGTGGTCTGTTTCTCCATCTCTATTTCTCGCTTACTGGTCTCTCTGTAGATACACGAATATAGAACACATTGGTACGTCCCAACGAACGGCATGTGTGCTGCACATGTGTCAAATGCATAATGCATCGACGTGTAGCTATGCAGTCGACTTGGAAGCTCCACGATTTTGCGGGTTGTGTGTGCATTCTGTAGAGCGTGAAGTAGTAAATATAGAAATGAAAACTTTCAGACCGTAGATATGTCATTGTTTTGTTAAATTCTCTTCTTTATTCCCTTTGATTCTGTAAATTTTGCTGATATAAATTGTCGAGTGGCCAATGTGAATAATCAAATAAATACCCAAGTCAAAATTATGGTTGGATTTTCAAGTATTAAACTTTGCTGTTCCTTTAATGAATTATTTGCCACTTTCAATTGGACTGCATAATTAGACTCAGTAAGATTCAGAGGATTGAACTTCAATTTTTAAACTTTGAATTTAACCATCTGAACTTTCTGAAGATCTAAAAAAGAAACTCATTTAAATCCATCTCAAATGGACTCATTTCCCAAATCTACCTTAAATCTTCGTCAAATAAATGAACCATAAGAAGAAATTTTTTAATTGTAAAAAAACAAAATCATTACAGTTATTTAGAAATATTGTCACATCACTAATGGCTTCAACCTAAAGATACATTATTTTAAACGTCAGTTTAAACAATGAGTAAAATTTTCAGCTTTTTTGATAATTAAATAATCATATTTTTAATTCTGTAAAAAACTTCAATAATTTTGATGTGTTGAAATGTTAGGATTAAACTGTTTTTTCCGTCATTTTTCTCATTAAGAATATCTAATAATTTCATGTTATTTAGTTGAATTATTCTCGGTTAGTTGTTCCTAATTTCTGACCAGAGGCTCTAATTAGAAATTGTTAGCGAGGTAGCAAAATTATTTAATTAAATTAATATAATTTGACAAAGCACTTGCGTCTCTTATTACAATATCCAAATAAATTCCCATAATACCATTACATGAAATTAATGTTTACTAAATCAAATAAAGCATCTGATATTTTCTTGTTAGACTAATGAAATAAAATCCGGAAGAGACAAGCATAGTTACGGAAATAATGAAAACGAATATTTAATTTGAAAAAATAAAGAAGAAAAAAAAATTGTCACAAGTACTTTCTATCGTAATCGAATCAAGTGTATTCATCAAACAGTTAACGATTCAATTTAATTATTCAATCTCGTTTGTCACCCTCGAATCGACCACGCAACTTCGGAGAAATGCTGATTTAGAAACCTTCACCGTAATTTCTGATTTAATTTAACCATTAAACCTCTTGTACGACCATTGACCGATCCTATCTCCTACCTCGTTTCATCCTCACTTCGCTGAAGCATCCCAGAAGTGAACGTAAAATTCATCATTCGCGAGCTCTTGCAAGCACAACATCATCCATTCGTGGTGACATATAACTCTCACCCTTTCTCGTGGTAACTACGTACACTCCCAACCATTCTGACCTGAGTAATTGCACTCATACCTTGATGCTGCGACATAAATGGAAGTCTCGTTAGTTATACGCAAAATTTACCGTCTTCTGTGAGCACGAAGCTACAGAAAAATACCAAAGTAAACAATGTTTTTCAAAATTTTATAAGTCTTAAACAAATATTTGCCCTATTACATCGTTTTAATGATGCCCTCAGAATCCTTTCAAGATCCTACTCATATCATCAAACCAAATAATTGATATTTTATAAAAATATTTGAAATACTGCTTTTCAAGTTTATGTTTATTTAATGATTTTATCAAAACATTTGAAAAAAGTGATTACACTAGGAATAGGATAAGGTTTTGAAATTAAAAAATGACTTGGAAAGTGTCAAATTTAAGTAAAGTGAGATGAATTTAAAAGGGGATTTTCTCTACTGGAAAAAATCGGTTTCCCAAATTTCTATTTTAAATAACAATGAAAGATGACAGAATTGATACCATTACAATTTTTATTGAAATTTGATACTTTATATAGTTTGAATAAAAAGATTAGAAAGAATTTAGAAATGGTAAATAATCTTGGATTTTCTCGTTTAAAATAATTTTTTTTCAAATTTCAAATGATCAAATCTTTATAAACTACTAAGTTATAAGTTCTCATAGGAAATTTTTTTTCTGTGATTTCAAGCTTATAACTTATAACAAATAATAAGCGTAAAATTATTTCGAAAAATTATTTAAAAGTTTTATATACTTTGTACCAAACTTACCTATTGAATCGATTTATAAAAATAGTTTTTTTACTCATAATTCTTCATTCAACTTTATTATTCTTTATCATCTATATTATTCCTATTAACAATGACAAAAGATATGAATGATAACTTTTCCAGTTGTTTTTATTGAACGTGAAATTATTCTATTAAAATGAATCTCAATGCTAATAAAACATTATTATCATTCATTAATGCTGTCTACATAAATTTACTTAAATTTAATTAAAATTAAATTAGAAATGGCATGTAACAAAAATACTGTTGTCAAAATTTGGTAGAGAATGTTTGTTTTCCTTAACAACACTTTAGTTCCCTATTCGTGTAAAATAATTCATTATCATCAAATATTTTTAATCAATAAACATAATCTACCCTAATGACAACATCTTTTTTACTATTTTTTATTTGGTTAATAGAAGACTATAAAATGATGTAACTTTGAAGGTTTACAGTATTTTTACGAGAAGTTATAAAATTTGATGTCTAATAGTTCTAAATTTAATTGTCCTTTAAAGCACAGTCTGATTAGTTTATTTTCATATACTTAATGCCGTTCTTAAATAAGAGAAAAAATTTTATATTACCTTTTATACCTATAATGTGTTTCTTAATAACCTTTATAAATTTCAAGAATTTTCAGTGTTGTTAAAGAAAGTATAAAAAAAAAGAAATAATGCTTCTACAAAAATATATGCAAAAAGCTTATGTTAAAGATGATGACACAAAGTAGTAAAATAATTTCGTAAAAGCTATAGACACATCAGAAGTAAACCTCCATTAACAATAATCAAATCATTCATTTTACGTAAAAAGATGAAAATGCTACGTTAAATAGGTAAAAGCTCATGATGAAAGCACCTGGTGACACATATATGGTACTTGGTGGAATTATGATTTAACACAAAGTGTAGAGGGAATTGGTTTGAGTGCTTATTACCTCTGCTTCGTGAATTCTAACATAGCATCTCTAGAGACTTATACTATATTTGGCGACTCATACCTAATTACAAGATTGATTGTAAGCCTATCTTTTGCATCCCAGTTACAGAGAAAATGAATTTCTCTCATATTTCACAACGTTATCACTAGCATTATGGTGATGATAACAATAAAATTATTTAAAAGCACCATTATTATGTGAATTCAACAAAATTACTTTTTTAAATTTTTCATACAGTGTACACGTGGAAAATACCCTTTTTACTTCTTTATATGAAAAATATGTGCTCTTTTTTATTTATGCTTTCTTCTCCTCTCAAAAGAGAAAAAAAAATGTCATAACAGGTACACCATAACAACTCTTGTGGTATTCTGTCAACGAAGCCCACACTCTTCTTTCTCTATGCTCCTTTAAGCTTTGATAGAGGCTTCATACTCACACCAGGAAGGGAGAATAAGGTAACCACTATACCGGAATATAAACATATACTGTTCTTTCATGCTACTCAAGTGAAGCAGCAAAAGAACTGTGGAGATATATCAAAAATATATAAGGTAGAAAGAATGAGAAAAGAAAAGTCTGAATTCTTTGAGAGCTTAAAAAGGATTTTAACTTATGAGATTTTGGATATTCTCAGAAGCTTTACACTTTGTTACTTTATTTTCTAGTATACTCCAACTATACAACTTTACAGTTGACATGTTTGCTGAGTATCAAGAAGCTATTAGGATAAATAATAGT